CCAGCACACTGCCCCCCTACAGGGCACCCGCCTCCAAAACCCACCAGAGCGCGGCGCCGCGCCCTGATCCCTGAAACACCAGCCCTCTGAACCCTGAATGCTAAACCCTGAACCCTGGACCCTGGACCCTGGAAGGTGCACCCGCGATCCCCAGGGCGCACCTCCACGCTCCAGCAGAGGCCGACGTGAATGTTCATCTCCACGCCGCTCTCAGGGTCAGGGGGCTTTACGGTCAGCTGCGGGGGTTGAATGATGAGGGTTCAGGTTTCAGGCTTCAGGGTTCAGGTTTCAGGGTGTGAAAGCTCAGAGGTTAGGTACAGGGACCAGGGAGTGGGTCCGGGGGCCATCGGCGGAGTGAGGCGTTTGGCATGCCAGCCGGCGCTGTATGGCGCGGCGCGGCTACAAAGACGCGTGCAACAGGCCGCGGGCGGCGGGCAGCAGCTGCGCGCTGGTCGCGACCGCAACCGGCTGCAGGGCCTGCAGACTGCGCAACCGCTCGCAGTGGCTGCGCAATGTGTATGTGTGGCGCACGTGCGCGCATGTGTGCTCTAATCCTGCCGCATGCGCGCACGCGCGAACAAACTTGAACGCCAGCGCACAAGGACCGAGACGCCTGCCCACGCACGACCAAAAGCACCCACACGCTTCACGCGCACACCGCGCCAACAATGCCGCGGCCTGCATGCATGCACTAGGGCCCGTCCCACCCTCTCCACTCCAGCCATCCCCAAAAAATGCAAAGAGACTGCAGACTCGCAAAGCAGCCAAAAAACCACCTTATCATGAGGCACCACCGACTAAAACGGTTGCATTGCAACCACCAAAACCACCAACCCAAGGACATGACATACCTACATCCACAACCACATCATGCCCCCACCTTGAGCCGCCAGGTGAAGCCGTTCCAGCAGTGCCCCTCAGTCAGCAGGTAGTAAGCGTCGCGGCAGCTGCTCGCCCGGTACTTACTAATAGCGGTGTGCAGGTCGTCCCGCGCGATGTACGAGGTGAAGGCACTCGTGGTGCCCTCCCCGCCCCGCGCCCGCGGCAGCAGCCGCCCGCAGCGCGGGTCGGACTGCGGTTTTGCGAGCGGTTTGCAACAAGATGGAGATGGGCGAGCGGCGCGGTGGGTGGGCGAGGAGCCGCGAGGCGAGAGCCGTCCGAAACGGGCCGACGTGAAAACTGACAGTTCCTTGACGTGACGCTTCCCTGGAGGCCCCATGCACTCTTCCGGGCCCCTGCCAGCGCGGCGGTAGAGGCAGGGGGCACGGGGGCGGAAGGGAGGGCTGCGGGGTCCAGGTGCGGCGCGGCCCGGCTGTTGTGATTTTCAGGGGGTGGCGCACCTGCATTGCGGCGCGCTGCTGTTCGCTGGCCATTGAGTACTGGGTGGCCTCCAGGAGGAAGGGCTGCGTGTGTGAGTGTGAGCGTATGGGTGTGCGTGTGTGAGGGTGTGTAGTTGTGTGTGCCTGCGTGCGTGCGTGCATGTTTGTCTGTGTGATGTATGTCGTTTTTGTTGGTTGTGTGAATGCGTGTAGGTGTGTCTGGTCGTGTGTTCTTGGTTGTGTGCATGGGTGTAATTGCGAGCATGGGCACGCGCGCACAAGCGGAAGGGGGAGGGTGCTACGCAGGGAGGGGCGGGGACGGGTCCGTGGGACCGCCAGACGCGCCGCCACATCTCCAGGGATGGCGGGAGGCTCCAAGGCATTTGCTCCCTTGATCAACAACGCAAGTGGCAACGATGCCGTCAAAATTGATGCAGCCAAACAAAAGTCACGACTCGTGATCTTTCGTGGGTCCAAGAACTACTAATTCAATGACTCGTGATGCCAGCCCGCCGCACCTGGAAGTCCGGGTGGCGCCGCAGCTGCTGCTCGTGGGAGGCGACAGCCGCCAAAAAGTTGGCGCTCATGTGGGCGTACCGCACCTGGACGGGGGTGACGGGGTGGGTGACGACAGGTGACAACGGGTGAGGACGGTTGTGTGTGTGTGTGTGTGTGTGTGTGATTGATTGTGTGTGGCAACCACAGCAGCATAGTTCATAATGTGTGTGTGTCTGCGTGGGTGTGGGTGTGGGTGTTTGTGCACACGTGCCTATCCTGCATGTGCGCCTTGATATCTGATTTTTGTCGTGCGAGCGCAGCAAATGCGTTTCAGGGCGTCCCAGCTGCAGCCACGCGCGCACAGCCCGCCCCCAGGGCGCCGCGCCTAGTGTCAAACTAGTCCCGCGCCCCCCGCCTCACACCCACACCCACACACACACACACACACACCCCAATCCCCTCACCAGCCTCAGCAGGTGGTCCGCATCCGCCGCCGCCGCCGCCTCCCCCGCCGAGCCCTCCGCCGCCGCAGCCGCCCGCGCGCGCGCGCGCAGCCAGCTGGCAACCGCGAGGAACACCACGTTCTCGCTGACCGTGCGCAGCTCCTGGGCGCGCACAAGGTGCTCCACCGCGCCGCGCGGCAGCTGCAAAAACGCGGCCCGCAGGGGGGCGCGCTGGAAGGCGTGGTCGAGGTTATGAAAGTCTGCCCAAACCCGCTGGTAGGCTTTCTGTGGGGGGGATGGGATGGGGGCGGGGGTTGTGGTGTGGATTGCGGTCGATCGGTTGTGACAAGAGTCGGTTGGGGCCGTTTGGGGTGGGTTGGGGTGTGCTGCGGCCGGATGATGCAGGAT